GGGGGGCAACATCCATCCCCTTAATTGTGAGAGGTAGCTATGCTTGCAGGGGTCCCCTGTATGGGCCTAGGAGAAGTGGTAGGTAGATAGTGAACCGTGAAATTGAGAGAAGAAAAGAAAAGAAAAAGAAAAGAAAAGAAAAAGAAAAGAAAAAGGAAAAAAAAGACATTCTGAAAGAGACTATTAGGGAGGCAGATCCGTCAGCCTAGCTCGGTAAGGCATGCAACTGGCATTCAGGAAGTTGTGGGTTCGAGCCCCATAACCACCTGTGGCGAACTTAGTGCCAACCAGCTGTGATACTCCGCTTGATACCTCTGATCGGTATCAGTAGGGTCTTTGGCCAACACGGGTGAGAGTGCGAGTGTGAGTGGGTTTTGTGTGGTGTGTCCAAGAGTGTTGGCCTTTGACCCTCATGCTATTCGAGTGGGGGTGCTGTTGGGGCGGTGGCCAACATGCAATCCTTTCATTGTGAGGTAGCTATGCTTGCAGGGGTCCCCTCTATATGGCCTTAGGAGTAGTGGTCGGTAGATAGTGAAAGGCCATAAACGAATTTCAGAGAAGTAAAAGAAGGGAGGCAGTACTTCAGTAGCCCTCCCCCACACAAGAACAAGGATGCTCTTTTAGGATACAGGGTCTTGACCTGCCTGATGCAGTTCTGGCAATGCCATTTTAGTCTGTTTTTCACCTCTTCTTTTTGTGACTTCAGTTTTTTTTTGTTTTTGTTTTTTTTTCTTGGGAGGGGGGGGGAAAAGCAGAGGATCCTTTTTGTGACTTCAGTTTGAACGGCCGCTGTTCTGCCAGAGTATTCCTGGGAAAAGTTCAACCTGAAAAGGGAAGTGTGTCAGACCAGACTTGAGTTTTTCCCCTTACCCCTACCACCCTTCTTCTTGCGCAAAAGGCAATAGGGGTGACTTCATGGACATGTATGATTTTCACGCCGAACTCTGGGCTAGCGCTGGTGAAGTGGCCTGACCACAATCAGCCGGATTGGAGGTCCAGGCTTCAAAGTACCGGCAGTTGGTTTAAACCACCAGTACTTGGCCCAGCTATCGGCCGCGGAAAAAAATAGAGTAGAAACATTTCTAGTTGGGTGAATTTGGGCGCTCCTGTAGTGGCCCGTACGTTTCCGAAAATCGCGTAGCGTTAACGCTACGCGACTTTAGGAAGTACTGGTGGTTTAACCCACCATCAGTGTCCTGAAGGGCGAAGTTTTGAACCATTAAAGTTATCAACCATCAGTCTGCAACAGCCTTACAGGATAGTGGGCTTCAGCAAACAACACAGGATAGTGTCCTGAAGGGCGAAGTTTTGAACCATCAAAGTTATCAACCATCAGTCCATTGTGTCTTCCCACAGAAGAACGCAACAAACAACAATCTTTGTGTTACAAGTTGCATCAATGGGACGCTGGACCCGGTTTCCAGCAGGTGCCGCTCCCCACCAATAGATGGAGCAGCCTGACAGATAAGCCCTCAATTCTGACGGTTCGCTTACCACCGCTGGGATAGCGGGCTAACGCAAGGGCTACTTTGCAAGAATATATATATTAGTATTATTACCAGAATAGAAATCGATATATCTTCCCGTCGTCTGTGGGAAGATGCGTCATTTTCCCTCTTTTCTTTTTCGGTGTGCTGTATGGTGACGCCCCATGCTGGCATACATGGGGGCAGAAGGAGCAGCTGCAACGGAATCGCTGCACTGATGTGACCTCAAACCACCAGTACGCTTCCCAGCTAGAAAATCGAAGTCACGGTGTGCATGCTGCAGCGACTCGCAGGAGGTACTGGGGCACCATTTCACCGCACATCCATCCAGACAAAACGTGTTGCATCCAAGGCCCATTTTGCCTGGATAGATGCCGCGAAACGGCGCCCCGGTGTTGGCCGCCCAAAGCCCGCCGGCCACCCAAAATAAGGGGTTTTAGAGTCCGCACCTGTCCATTAGGTGTAGTTTTGTCTGCCTTCTTACCTGATGAGCGGCAGGAAAATAGGGAGTCTGGGTCCACCCCTGTTTTTCCATCTCCCCATTCCCGAAAGTTGCGGCAGCATGCACGCCGCGGCTTCGATTTTATAGTTGGTGGTTCAATGGCAAGAGCCTGTTGAGAATCAAAACTCCTCAGGCTGGGCTCTTGCTGCCGACAACCGCGTACTGGGAGGGTGTTGGTTGCAGAGAGTGAATCATTATGTTGCGAGAAGCACAATGCAGTTTGTTGTAAAGGGCAGGAGGGAGATGTTCCTCAAAAGGAAGGGGGCGCCTGTTTCTTTCCACGGCGGAAGAGGTGTTGTCCTCTCGCTTCCCCTCTTTGCCATGGAAGGAGTGGGAGAAGGGGGAGCATGGATAAGCACCAAGAACCAGTTGGCGGGGATATAGTCTATTAGCTTCCCCAAAAAATTCAAGGGATGGATAGTCGTCAGGTGAAAGCACACCAGATTAAGCCACCACTACCTTTTCTATATGTCGGCCGGGGGCAGAAAAAAAGGCCTGAAACGGAAATCGGGCCGCCGATGAGATTTATCAACAGCGACCCGATCCCGCTTGACTTCCTTGTAACCCAGCACGAAATTGGTTTTCAAGTGGGGAAAGGTACTGGTCGTTTAAAGCACCAGTACATGGGCACCTGGGCCGCGGCTCTGACACCTGAAATTCTGGAGACGTGAAACGAAAACGTGACCACCGATTCAATTTATCAACGGCGGGCCCAGCATTGACATTTCGGCCTCAGTTTCTTGTGGCGACAAGTTTCAGACTGCAAGGCTGGGGCCGTGTACTTGCGGTTTAAGTCTGTGGAGATCGTGTTTGTCCAGCTCACTTCTTTGTGTCAGGGTCGCACCGATAGAGGTGAGGGCCGCTTGGCTAAGTGGCGGAGTCCGACGTAGCTGGATGGAAATCACGCATCCTGCTGGTGAGGAGGGCCAGCTGGTAGGATGGGAATAGGGTATAGCAGCGGCAGAGGTGATGCACTGGCTCTGCTGTAATAAGTCTTGCCAGAAGGGGTAGAGGGGGTAACCTTTGATGGGTGGTTCTCGGTGTTGTGTCTGAACAGTGTCTTCAGGAGCTGGATAGCCTAGAACCAGAGGCCGGGTGATTCCCGGGGTTTAGTAGTCCATCCCATGTCGTGCTGACGTGGTCACATTTTGGCTAATGGATGGTAGATTCCAGAAGGACGCTGGCAGGGGCTGGGGTTTGGTTATGCTGCCCTGTAACCCTAGTTAGACAGGGGCATGAGGCCTGGTAGAGAGATTTGGGGAATTGCCGAGGGTGGAAGGCATTGCAGAACAGGACCCTTTTATTCAGGGGGCCTGCAGAACTAGGGCTGGGATAATACTAAAGGAGGTGCTCCATGAAGGGAAGGGGGAAAATAGCAGCTCCAAGGGACAACGGAGACCCGGGAAGAGACAAGTATCACCATAGCCCTAGGAAACGACAATCACCAAAAGAAAAGAAAAAAAAAAAGGAAGGCATTCCAGTGGTCACTGTGAGCTAACATCAGGACGATGATGGTTGGTGCTGGGGTGGGTCGTGTTGCCCTGTAACTCAGCATGGGGGGCGGGGTGAGACTGGGTAGAGTCCTGGCATAAGGATATGAGGGCTGAGGCAGGTTCGGTTGGCCTGCTGAACAGTGGTTGGGTAGTCTTTTTTTTCAACCTTGACCAGCCATTAGGGAGAGTGATGTGTGTGCCCCCCCCACTAGTAGCTAGGTCACGTGCTGCAGTCAATTGGTGGGGAGGGGCAAAACGGGTCCAGCGTCCCAATGATGCATTTATATGACATATTTATATGACATACATTCAAGTACAATCCAATGACAGCTTTCAAACTATCTGCTGGTGACCGGGAGTTTGCACTAGTGTTTTTTTCTGAATACTCCGGAATGCTTAGACTGTGTCTATGATCTGTTTTCTCAGCCGAAGACTGGTAATCGCCCCCGTGCTTCAACTTTTCTGTACAATTTTCATATGGGATACTGGGGCCCGTTCCCAGCACGTGCTGCTCCCCACAAATAGATTGGAGCCTTGCTTCCCAAAGAAAACTGCGGCGCAGTCAGGGTTTGAGTTTGAAAATGCACTTTAGACAAAAGGCCGGTAATGGTGAATGTATATAACCTAGGTTTCTGGTCCGGTGGGGTCACGTGGGGCTGTGTTGTGTTCGCGGGATTGCCTGAAGTGCATTTTCAAACTGTTTTCGTGACTGCGCTGAAGTTACCCCCCCAAAAAAAAATGTTTGCTGTTGCGAGCAAAATAACAAGGTTTCCATGCCATAATGTCCAGTTGATGTAGCTCAGTGGTTAGAGCAGCAGTTGGAAATGCGCGTTGTGGTTTGAGGTTGCGGGTTCAAAACTCCGCAGCCTTGGGCATGGACACCAGCACGGCGTTAGAATGACGCACGACTGGACACACACTCCCCTGGGCTGACGCAGGTAAGCTATTACAGACACTGCTTGCGCACCACCCAGGGGTCTTAGTCCATGGTTGCTGTATGCTGGGTTTGGGCTGTGGGATGTTTGCCTGATCCTCTTGGTTCTAGTGGTTCTTTGCGCGCTTGCATACTTGGGGATGATTGTTCAATTGCCTTCCAGTCCGATATTGCATACAAATCGTTCAGTTTCCACAATAGCTCAGTAGGTTCAACAGGAAATTGCATGGATGAGGTCGTGTGTTCAAACTCGCTTACCTAGTGGGAGGCAGGACCAAGAGACCTACACAACACCCACAGACTCAGGAACGGTTGATGAGAGTGAGACTTATTACAGACTGTGGTCAGTGTTGGTAGGTTTCTTGGGGCAAGATGAGAGTAGGGGGACCTGTTGCTAGCTGGAGATCTGGGGGGGTCAGCCACTAGGCACGGGAGGGGTTAGGATGAGGGCTCCCCTTAGGACAGCTTGCCCGTAGAACAGGAATGGTTGATGAGAGTGAGACTTCGTACATGGGGCAAGATTAGAGTAGGGGGACCTGTTGCTAGCTGGAGATCTGGGGGGGTCAGTCACTAGGCACGGGAGGGGTTAGGATGAGGGCTCCCCTTAGGACAGCTTGCCCGTAGAACAGGAACGGTTGATGAGGGTGAGACTTCGTACAATCTACGGTCGATGTCTGTCTGAACTAGGACCCTACAGACCGCCCATGGAACGAGGAACAGTTGATGAGAGTGTGTGATAAGCCAGGACCCGTTCTCGACGGTTTCCTGTACCCTTCGGGAAAAATCCCACATAAGGCCTCGGAGTACGGGCTCTGGATAGTTGGGAAGAACGGGGTTTTTGTTTTCTTTCCTTCTTTTTCTTTCTTTGAAAAAGGGACGGGTCTCGTGTGGCCGGTTAGCGGCCGCGCCAAGAAATTCAAGAAACGGTTGGGGACTAGCAGGAGTAGGAATTTTGAATTTTTGCGTGCGCGGCTGTTTTCAAATTTTTGTGCGCCGCGTAAACCCGTCCTCCCGCTCTGCATCCCCGCGCCATCTTCCCTTCTTGCTGTGCATCTCCTTCCTGCATGTCTCTTCGTCTTCCCTCTACGCGAAGTCCGATCCCCGCCTTCTCCTTTCCCTCCGAATGATTGGCTGTCTGAGTGGGGTGGTCGGGGCAATGTGGTGGCCGCGGGAAGCGCACCCCACTTGGACGACCACCCCAATTACGCAGACCATTTGACTCGCCTCCTTCGATTCCTCTGGAAACTTATGCCCTTCTTCTCTCCTGCTCATCTACACCCCGTGCTTCGCGCAGCCTCCCCGCCGCCTTCAACGCTATAAATTCTCGCAAACCCTTCCTCTCACTCTCTTGGATCTCGACTGCAAGCTGCGTAAGCTATGCGCGAAGCCCGCGGTGCAGGAAGGCTCGATGTGCCCCCTGGTGGGCGGAGTGACGGGGGGTGGCGGAGTTAGCGGTGGATTTGGGGTGAGGCAGTCAGAGGGACAGAGCGATGGTGGAGATCAGACGCCGGCAGCGGCAGGGCCTTGTGGCTATGGTTGCCGGTGGAGAGAAGGTTAACAACAGTCGTATTTTTCATCACCACTTCAGGACACCCTTCACCACTTCAGGATGCAGCCTGGCTAAACAGGTGGTTTTCAGGGTCTTCGGACCTTTCACCACTTCAGGACCATTCAGGTCTGAAAATCCTGAATGGTCCTGAAGTGGTGAAAGCTCTAAAGACCCTGAAAACCACCTTTTTTGGCAGGCTGCATCCTCAAGTGGTGGAAGTGGTTTTCATGGTCTTCGGACCTTTCACCACTTCAGGACCATTCAGGATTTTCAGACTGCCCAAAACTCTCACTTGACCACTTCAGAACACCCTTCACCACTTCAGGAGGCAGCCTGCCTAAACAAGTGGTTTTAAGGGTTTTCAGACCTTTCACCACTTCAGAACCATTCATGATTTTCAAACTGCCCAAAACTCTCACTTCAGAATTTTCATTCCTGAAGTTTCAGCTACCCAATAACCGCTTGTGTGTCGGTGATCTGAACGGACCGGGTGGAGACTGGGTCCGAAGAGGCCAGTCATGAGAATCCCATATTTTTAAGACGAAGTTTTTTCTCCATTGCTGCTTTGCCCCCATGTCATGTGTGCAAGTTCCCCAATGTGGGGACAGTGTATGGTATGCCTTCTCGGGTATGGAAGTCTATGGATGTGAATGTTTTAGTAAGAGCAGATGACCATAGGGTGTCTAGTGTTGATTGCTGACATGAGTGCATGAGTGGGTCGGTCCTTTCTGCCTTCCTCCCTATTTCTTGATTAATTGTCCCTAGCCCGTGTGAGTGTGTGTGTGTGATATGCACCCTCCTCCCTTCGCTGTCTCTCGCTCTCTCTCTTCGCGCGCAGGTCGGGACTCAAAGGGGAGGAGGACAGGTCTAGGTAGATCGGTCACCCACGTACGCGCAGAGCGACTGACCTATCTATCTCCACCCAGGGGGCCCAACGTCACGTTCAGGTGGATGCTACATAAAAGAGACGGAGAAAGGGAATTGAGTGCATCCTTCCACAACGGTATTCGTTGAGTTTTTGATGGAGTCAGGTTTCATCCCGACACACGGAAGCGCGGGTCGTGGCCCAAGCTCGAACCTTGTCCCCGGGCGTCACAACACGCTTCCGCCTTTCCCAATCGCAGATGACGATGGCGTATACTGCAATGCGCATGTGCGGAGCTTGCCGCGGCGCACGGAGCCAATCCATCTTTACAACCCGACCCAGGCGTGCCACATACGCGAGAGCGGGTTTGTGCTGATTGAGCGATTTATTTCCCCGCCTCTGATCTTGTTGTACACCGACCTCACGGTGCTGCCCTGGTCCGTCGTGCACGCCATCTGACAACCGCGTTTCAAGTGTCACTGGTGTCGCCAGGCAGACTCGTGCTCGTGGCGATGGTTGGTCCTGGGGTACGAGGGGGCTACCCGATTCCCCGAACTCTCCCACAACGAGGGTGCGCTCCCCACCCGTTTTGAACTTGGGTCCCATCGACTTGCTCGATCCCGGGCGAACCCGTGCAGAACCAATCGCACGAACTCGATGAGTCTAACAAAGAGGCCTAACTCGCCTCCGGAGCATCGGCTCCCGAAAGGGTCGCGCGAACCATGCGCCCTGGGGAACAGAACTCCATTCCCGACGACCCCGTTGCTCCTTTTTCTTTTTCCTCATGTTCGTTTTTTTTTTTTTTTCCTGAAAGTGTTGACGATAGGGCCGTAGGGTCTTGTTCTCCCGCGATCCGCTTTCGGCGATAGCTCGAACCCCGTCCCAGCACCTCAGGCTGAGACAAGAGTACCCCATTCCGTCCGGGTGACTCAACCCCCACGATCAAAACTCCTCGGCCACGCCCCTAACAACTCTGATTGACGTCCGAAGTACGGGACGTCGCGTGGGGCATGACGTTGGTATCAGAGCTGATTTGTTTCAGCTCCGAGGTTTCCTTGGGACGACCATCCAGTGTTGTTAAAGACATGGTTAGTCATATAGATCCTCTTTTCTTTCCTTTTCTTTTGTTTTGTCTCAATTACGGATAGGTTGTCGACTCAGCGTCGCCGGACCGCGAACGCTAATCACAGCCAACCGAAGGGGCGGGGCCGAAACCTACCCCCCGTCATGGTGGAACCAGAATAGGGAGTGGATAACCATGCGGGGATGGCTGACCATCCCCTGTACTTTGTCCCTCCTCCCTCCGAAGTTCCCATGTTCTCCGAAGATGAAA